TGAGAACATGGACCTTACTACGGTCTAAGGTGTGAGTCAGACTTATTTACTGAATGACGTCATTGACGAAGTACCGTCATAACACTGAGACAGCCATAGCAGACGTTATAATATAGGAAATAAATATGTTCATTCTTTTTTTTTCATATTTTCATATTAATTCCGCCACTTTCAATTATTTTTGTCTAAAAATTGTATATTACAGTTAATGTTGGTGTCCCATCCTGCTGTAAAAGGTTGTACATGCTCGTCCCTATGGTGACTAGTAAACAACGCACGCGTCTAATATCAGTTTGAACACATTGCCACTGCCTAATTCGTTATTAGTGTTCTGTGTATGCAGACAGTTACCGTGTTATTGGCTCTGATATATAACCAAATACGACTATACAATATGACAGACAAGTAATTAATTAGATAATGTTTGCGGGACAATGTGTATACCTTAATAGTGTTATTGCACAATTTCCAAACGTTATTAGTATGAACAGTACCGACATTTTAGTTTTTAGTTTTGGACGGAAATCGCCGTTTTCTATGATCCAATGTAACTTAATCGTTTGTTATGCCTCATTAAAATGACATCATGCGCTTATGTTGGATGGCTACGAAAGTGACCCCATCTACTGATCATCGTGATTGACGTATAAGCGGGAAATTAACCAATCTACGGCTAACACAATAAGTAACTCCAATCTATCATTTCCTATTGTAACTCTGAAATTTAAAAGTAATTGCGAATCCATGAATAAAAGTTCAAAATGCCGCCCACCTCCCCGCTAAAGGCGGGTAATTAAATTCGAACTCACAATTAATGAACGCACAGTGCTCATACAAAACTGATCCCAATTTCAAGATTAAGTTAAAGGGTGGCAGTCGTCGTGACGCGTCCTGTTCAATAAGGGACTCATAGCGACGTATACAACGCGTGTAAAATACATTGTTTATTTACATGAAATTCAAACACGCGCTGCGCGACGACCACCGCGCTTTAAGCATGCATTTTTGCGTTACATGTTTGTCGTTTTCACTATGGCGTCACGGTGCATTCTCGACGCTATGAGTACCCCATTATATTCAAACTATTGCACAACATGCGTATAACAACGTAAACATAAATACTCTGTAATAAAAAAAATGCCTGGTAAGAATTTTTTCTTGCCCATACAAAACATCTTATTAATTCAAATTCGTCAACGCCCGCCTACAATATTGTCAGCAGACGTCGCATTATTGAATACGATAACTGAACTGAACTGGTGCGACGGACGTACACTTAGCAACGGGGACGCTCCTCTCTGGAATGTCCTGTACTCGTGTATGTCGTTGTATTCACTATAATGCTTGCCATAACAAATACAAATCACATTTGTCGAGTCTCTGTTATCCCAGCAACTAATTGTTCTAGCTACTGTATTATTTGTAAATAACTTAGCCACATTAGTCAATGCTTTAAATCACTATGTGTTGGCGAAAAGTGACTTGCAATAAATTCCGATGGTCCTTTGATATCGTTATGTCCAATAAAGACGGCGTGGCTCAAGTTCATGGCGCTATCATCAACAATCCCTTACTAAGTTAGCAGCATGTCAATTGGTTTGTCTCGTAGATTGATGTCATGTAATTGTATTTCTTAAGACGGCATACAGTCGCACACAGATTATACCATGGTGTTTATATTTCTATGGTTACTTGTATTAATGAGAGTAAATATCGTCTCGCCTGCTTCACTAGACAACTATCCCTTTTTCAAGCTGAGATCTCCCACTGGGCATAGTCGACCAATGTTTCATTGGTTTATGTATAGAAGTTGGCGCGAATGTAAAGCTCCGAGCTTACGTGTATAGATAAAACTAATGGAAACATGCCAGACGACGTTTTTTTGTGTCATTACCCGTCTTGAGTCGGTAAAGGTCGACCCGAGGCACAATGCTCATCTTAACTCCATACCCTAGGCGGTATAATCTCTGCATTGACCGGGTCAATTGTAAAATACAAAAAACGTTCCATCGCGGTGACTGATTTGGTGATATTGCGACTTAACTCTTTGTTAAAAGTGAACTTAAAAGATGAATACATTGACGTTTGCATTTACTCAGTGATCACAATGTGTCCCTTACAGTCGGTCATGTTAGTTCTGCCTTGTGCACTCATCTCCTCCGATAACACATTAGATTGATTCTATTCTTACACATGTCGTTGTTGCAGACATACACTGAAAGTGCTATGATGACAAACAAACACGCCAATAAACGAAGAGTTATGTTTGGTTTTATGTTGGCTTTTAGACTTTCATGCAGTCTCTTGCATGTTTTTTTCAATAAC